GCCATGGTTTATTTGAAGGTTATTAAGGATGTAACTCATTTTTTTCCTGGTGCATAGAAGTTCTTCAGTTTTATCACTGATTGTAGGTAATCACACGGAAGAACAATAATATACTGACTTCATCCTTCTAATCTAATGATCTACGATCAATCGGGCTATCGTATAATGAATCGTAGAAGTCGGTTATTTGAGTAGTAGTAATAGTAGCAGTTTTACTAGTTCTTACACACAAAGTGTGGCTCAGATCTAGATACACAAACTTGTACTTGGTTGCACTAGCGCTTTGTTAATATGTACAGTTTTTAGATCGGTTCCACGCGTACTCAAGGCTTTGTGAAGTTAACTCATTTTTAATGAGCTATGGGATTAAACAACACTTGGTCTTCAATAATAGGGGTACTGGTTCAAACTCTATCAACTACATTTTGTGTAGTTAGTTAACATCAGTGACCTTTACAGCCAAAGTATAACTTTATACTTCGTGAGTTACAACACTATATGTTAGTAAATAAACTTTTTCAATATACGAAACTATAAATCTTCCTATTAGTGACAGTACTTCCACATGTATTACGGAATGCACGAAACATGTCATACTTTATCAAGATTGAACTAGTGAATTTAAATCTGTTATGGTTGAGGCTATCACTAGTTCACTTAAATTGCGAACGAGAACGAGATTCGATGACCAAGACCATTAAGCTAACTATTGACGCGTCACAGCCCCGCTATCTAGAGTGAGAAGACCAAGCTTAGAATGGAAGTATATTCTGCAACAACCAAAAAACTAGCGATTTTTACGAAGAAAATTTAAAACGTATATATACAAATATATATACATCGATATTGCCATGGAGCTTTTAAACATTTAATCGATAAATTCGTCAATCAACTATGTCAGTGGGTGGTAAGAAATGCCCACGTATACGTCTGCATACAAGCTACATAAGATAAAATTACAAGCTATGAGTTTCTGGAGATCTATCGTCCCCAACAAAAACTTAATTGGTATTTAAATCATAGTTTCTGCATTAATATATGCCTGGAAAATGGATACATGTATAAAGGACGAAGTATATATAAAGTAGTCAGATGACTGCCCTCTTCAGTAATTCGAATCGAAATCGATTCAATCAATTCTGTTTTCTGATGTAGATACCATCAGTAAATATACATATGACTTTTTACGAACCTTCTAAATTTCCACACTTTACTCGATTTTGATATAGCGGAAAAAATAGGATTTTTAGGAATTCATTACTAAATGCCATCCTACTGTTGGAACATTAGGTTTCAGATACGAAATAGTACGACTCAGCAGGATCAATAGAACTTAATCGTTAGACAATACAGTAGATATTAAACTGGGCACTAAATAACCATTTAGATCACATGTGTACAGATACTCAAAGTTCAACTAATGATTGAAAACCAGATTACACTAGATGATAGTTTATTGATACAGATTACAAACAGTCAACATATGATGAAAACTGAGTAGAAATCAACAGTGAAGTGAAGTTACAGTATTACATAGTCTTATATGTTTACCTTAGTTATGTATTGATCTTCTCTTATTAACTAATCATGTCTAGTCTTCACCGAAACATCCTGTTTTAACAGTATTTAGGATTTCTCTCCTAGTTGCAATCGTTTAGTTCACACTTGACCTTGTATTATTTGGTTCGTTATGAGTAATCACATTAATCTTTTTGTTTAACTTAAACTATGGTGTTAAGTAGTCTTGTACTTGTTTTGTTTTTCGCTTGTATACGATTCACTGTAATGTGCTTTTTTGCATGAAATATTTCATTGAATATATCATTTTTTATCATTCTTATTTTTAGTTCCTCAATCCTTAAAAGCTCTTATGCCAGGTAGCTGTCATAGTCGAAAAGCTACACAAAGATGGAAAAGAAGAAATTTACACACAGATGATAAAACTAACACTTCATTTGTCGATCTTAAAAAGCGTTTACAAATTAAACATAAACAAGCTAAAAAAGTGAGTTAGTTTAATTCATAGTTTAATCAACTTGCGTTCATCCAATTGTTGTTACGTCCTTTTTCATATGTAAGGGCCTTAAATTATTCTGGCAATTCGTAACATTGCCTGTGGTTATAGTAGATGTTCATTGACAGCAGACAGTCTTAGTAGATTACATAAAACTACATACAAATTAACAAAATAATACTAAAACCTAAAGAATAAAAATGTTGGTCAAAGTTGCGTTAGTCAGTAGATTAATTGAAGGTAAGGATCATTTGATATTTCACCTGAGATACACATACGCTTAATATACCCGTTTCTTAGTGTTTAGTATAATTTAGGAAAAAGTAATGATTAGTTTTTAGTAAATTGATCAACAACAAATAATCTATGTCATTGATCAAATGTAGTGATGAGTGCAAAACCGAAAACTAACTTAGTTATTCTGATGAGTAATAACAAGCAGGAGAACGGATTGTTGTCACATAGTCATTCAAATTCCAATGTTGATATATTATTTTCGTTCGAACAGAATAGTAAATTTTTTTTGATAAATTAGTGCATCAGTGATTTATTTATTTCTGATAAGTAGGTTTTATAAATACTTATTTTAACACATAGGTATTGGTACAAAGAGGGACCAAATACCTATGCGCCACACAAATCTCAATTGAAATGTGTGAGGGCTGTGATACTGCCCGGGTGCCCAAACCGACGCAGGTGGTTTTCTTAGGGGGTACACTTCGAGCCTTCGACCTAAACGTCTGATCCAAAAGGCAGTGGAGCATCGTAAGGAGATGCAGTCCCATGGTAGCCGGTAACCAACGATTGGTTCATACGCCATTTATTCCTTCAGGATACTGGAGCCAATGTGCACCATTGGTTTGAAATCAGGGTTTGCTAACTCCCCTAGGCGAACTCTCCATGTCCACCAACCCGGTTAAAGCTCCGGACATTCGCTTTCCGTCCTGCCAGTTTCGTAAAAAACACCCCGCCACGAGTAGGACTTCCCCGGCAGAGGCTATATACGCGTGGCCGTGTTAGAGCATTTCGATAGGGAGGAAGTAGATAAAAAAAGGCTAAGGAGAACTTGTAAGAAACTTGGCACAGCAATCAATAGATAAATTCAAATAAACTCAATCTATCAACCAACGATAACTAACTGCTAGGTTGGAGATTAATTAGTTTAAAGAAAAAGGGTAATTTGAAATATCCATGAGATAACGTCAGGAAAAGCTGTGGAGAAGTGCTAATAGCTCATATTCTACTGAATTCATTGGTAATGATGTTATTTATAAAGGGGATGAAAGCTTACTGATTAAGTCATCTAAATGATAGAAGACACTGGTATTAAAATCTCAAATTAGCTGTGGTAATAAATGACTAGTAAGCAAAAATGAAAATATATATATACTGTTTGTTTGGATCATAGTGTATATATAGTAAAAGAAAAACAAACATAAAGCACTGTTTTTATTATTGGAAACAATGTATTCATATACAAGTTCACTTTTCATCATCTTTAATTGTTATACTCTCTTTTCAGCGTAAATCTCAAAACCCATTATTTTCATTTGGACGAAAAAAATCTAAAGTTGGTTAATACAGTTAGTGACTTTTCAATATTTATTCAATGAACAGGAGTAAAGAAAAGAAGCTATTATTTGTATTGTGAATCAATTGTTTCATTATTCTAATGAATCAAATTATTTGACATTACTGTGTAATTATTATTACTTTTACAAGTGTGTATGAATGTAAATAATTATCGATGCATAATCATATCTTTTTTTGTTTAAATGAAGTGGATTTTATTGAGACTGTTTTAATTTATAGTACACGCCACTGACTGATCTTAGTTAATGGTACCGCCCCCAAATTCCCTGGTACGGCCGAGAGTGGGGAGAGTCCGCTCTCCCTCTCCAAATGCTCTCACATAGCCACGTGTATACAGCCTCTATCAGGGAAGACCTACTCATTGCGTTCTCGTGACCGGGGTGTTGAGAGAACGAAAAGCGAATGTCCGGCGCTTTAATCGGGTTAGCAGATATGGAGAGTCCACCTAGGGGAGTTGGAAATCCCTCATTCCAAACTAATAGTGCACATGGACTCCAGTATCCTGAGTGAACAAATGGCGTATGAACCAATTATTGGTCACCGGCTACTATGGGACTGCATCTCCTTACTTTACTCCACTGACTTGTGGATCAGACCTTTGGGTCAAAGTCTCCGGGTGTGGCATTCTAAGAAAAGCACCTGCTACGGTCTGGGTACTTGGGCAGTATCACAGCCTTCACACAAATCAAATGATTTGTGTGGCGCATATATATTTGGTGCCTCCTTGTACCAATGTTTATGTGTTTAAATAAATAAAACCGCTAACAAAACTAAAGAGTTCTGGATAGCTATCTCATAATATAATATTTCTCAACTGAAATCATTCTATGATGAATATCAACTACATCTTTATGATTGTGAGTTAAGGCAATTCGCACAGGATGTCAATATGAGACTGATCAATTTCGATCCTAAACATCAATGAGAATGAATTAAAACTTTACGTCATTACACAAGCTGGTGTCTATCTGGACTCAGTAGCTAGGTGGATAAGACCATGGCGTTTGAAGCGAACGGTACTGGTTTCGAGTTTCGGAATAAACATCAACTCTGCGATGCAGGTACATCCAGATGATGAGTCCTAAATAGAACGAAACGCTGTTTTCGATTCTACTTCTAGTCACCATTCATTTTTGCTTTTAAAGTATGAAAAGAGTTCAAAATACACATTCATTTGTAGAATTCTTAAACATGTTAGTTCAACTATCTAAGAGAACTGTTAGTATAATTGATAGATTACTTAAATCATTAGTTTTTTTTCGTTTATCCTAAAAAGTTTTAAATCAGTATATGTTATTAAACTGTTTCTATTGCTGATATTAAACAATATACTCACATAAAATCTTGATTTTAATGACTATTCTAATGTCAATATGTGACAACCTAATAAAATATCCAAAAAATAATGTATTTCATCTACAAAGAGTATACATACTGCGAAAGGTAATGTACAACAATTATGTAGCATATAAGAACTATTCAATATACAAAGAGTATTATCATTTCTATAATAAACTGTAGTTATCGAATGTTGATGATTACTTAAAATTGATATAAGATAAAGTTAAGTTTCATGCATTCGATAATGAATATGATACACATATATACATATAATTCAATTCAAAAAGATATTTATTAACAATATTGTTATAAAACATTGGCCGGAAGGAAATTAAGTTTATGAAATAAGTTATGAAGGAATAAGAGGTCATAAATTATGTAGTATATTTGACTTGGGTTCTATGAATTCCATAGATTGAGAGTATACCATCATGAGATCCAGTAGATACCTATGGGTAAAAAAAAAGGAAAAAGACTGGAATTTATACTAAACTGTGATAATACTTTTGGTTTTTAAGCCTGTTTTAATTCTTCGTAATGGTTCAACTAACAATACTTTCAAACAAGTGAAGAACCTAAGAACTTTTTAATGTATGGTTTGATTGTGGAGCTTTCATCGTTCTTCTGAACGACATCATAATCAGTATTTCATTGTAATTGTGTGAAGAGAAGGGTTTGTAAGCATTTGGTCTTCTGTATTGATTTAATCTCACTGTTCTAAGAACCATATCATAGGAGTAAATCGAATCAGAATTCAAACCATGCCTTTTCTTAATAGACAACTTAATTTTTTATAGTACCGTAAGCTTAGATGATTCTGTTTCCTTTAATTCATAATGTAAAATACTCTTCATATAAGTTATTCGTAATAATTTTAAGAAAATACAGTAAGTGGTTATCATCAGATAAATATACTGGTTAGTATTTCTTGTAGGAAAATGAAGCAATGGAGAAGATTTGCAGCATAAGCGGGTGCTTTTAGTGGTGTTATGCTTACTGGACTGCATAGTTTAACAGAATATGGTTGTGGAGATTGTTAATTTTTGGTTGATATCATGAATCGATCAATGTTAGACGACCATTGAAAACCTGGAAGCAACACATGGTTTAATTGTTAAGCTTTCATTGTCATTCTTAACATCTTCAGAGTTTACTTCATGTAGAAGTGAGCTTTCCAGTTATTCCTTAAGCATTACATCAGTTTGTTCTAATGGAATTGTTTTTGTTCGACTGTGTAGGTATATTTTGTCACCATCCATTTTCGCATTCATGTTGACTGTTTCGGTGCGTTGAATTCTGGCCTCATAACTGATTGACCCCATCAGGCAATTTCTCGAAACATGACATTCAGCTAAATTATCAGTTAACAGGCACACTGATATAGAGCGAGTTTGTAAGTCAATCGCGATGAAGAGGATACTTCAATTACGAGTGAAAATTTGTTAACTTGTTTTCGAATTACATTCTAAGTGTGAGATAATGTTACTATCAGGTTGTTTAAATCGAATTATGTGAAGCTGGGTTCAAATCTGCAAATGAATGGTTATAATTTTAACACCCTAATCACTAAGCCACTGGTGTGGACGTTACCCGAAAAAGACAATCAACATGAATGCGAAAATGGTGACAACAAAATATGCGAAGACAGTCGATCACAAACAGTTCCATCAGAACAAACTGATGTAATCCTTATGGAATAACAGGAAAGCTCACTTCTACATGAAGTAGACTCTGATGATGTCGAGAATGACAATGAAAACTTAACAGTTAGACCATGTATAGCCCAGAAAATAAAGCACAAACAAAATACCGAAGTGTTAAGATTTACAAATTGTAGTGTTTATCTGTGTTTCTAAATAAAAATACACAATGACTTAATTATAAACTCTTACTTCGGGCTTTGACGGATTCCAATCCACTACAGTAGCTGGGCTATTATTAGTTCGTACTTCGTGGTTTAATATAGCCAGGGGATGTGAGCAAGCTTTTCGTACATCACATATAACAGGTGATGATTGATTCACATCCATTGTACCTCCTACTAACAATTTTGTTCCACATGGACTAAACACTGCTGTTACAGGTGGAATAAGAGTATTTCTACTTGATCCACTTGAGTAGATTTCAGATGAAAGTCTAGTCAATTTCATTACAGGATGTCGACTTTCCCTAAGGTCCCATATTTGTACACAATCTTTTGGTGCCACTGTTGCATATACTGTATATCCTGTACCAAGTGTTGTAGTATTTTGTATTGAATCATTGAAGCTTGAATACAGCGATCCCTAAATATGAGATTTATACAGTTTATGATAAATATAAAAGTAACCAAAAAAAATTAGCAAGGAGTAATAGTGTCGGCAGTGATATAAATAGCCAATCAATTAGTCACATAGAAATAGGATATGGTGGGTTTCAGATACACAGAATTTCGACCAGTTATCTGATTTGGCTCAGGGCTGAAACATTGAGGTTTCCAGTATTTTGTTAAAAGTGTGATTCCTAGGTATCAGAAATGATAGTTCGTAAGTCCTATTTATGAGCAGTGATTGTATTTATGGAAGAGAACGAAGGTCAGGAAGCGTTGTCAACAAGACTATAACAAAGTGTTAAGATGGATTTAAGTTTTCCTGGAAGTGTGTGGTTGGTTGACAACACAGTCAAAAGATATTTTTGGAGGACTTCATTCAGAAACTGAATTGATAACATAGCTGCAGAATTTCATGAATAGCTCTTTGAACCTAACCATGCACCACCTTTATGCAAGTAGTGTTTACTTCTTTAGTTCTGTTATTTTCAAAGCATATTACCGTCTTTATAAAACTATAGGACTATGTGTGTGGTATTTTTCAAGTTGACCTTACCTAAACACTTTCATTTTAGGAAAACAAGATCGATGCAAATATCCTTATCTATGGAAAACAATCTGTATGCACTACAGCCTAACATAACAAGAAGCTTGACTTCGCTCGCGAACTTGAAGCTGTTTGCTTTTAATTTAATCGTTAAACTGTGTACTCTCATGATATAGTCATTATATTATCAAAAGGTAAAGTGTTCTAATCAAAAGAATTTGTTTGGTTCATCACGTTAGGCATACCTGGTCGCTCTTGTAAAGGTAGCAACTACAGCCTGAGAATAGATAGATATACCGAACCCTAGTTTCGGTAATATGGAAAATTCTATGTTTTCTGATTCAACTGTTTTTCACAGTATTTTAATCAGCAGTTATTGTGTTTTGGTCAAGTGGGTGATTTCAATGAAAAAATTTGATACAAAATATTTAGTAAAAGTCTAAGCCAAGTATTGTTTATTGAATGAATATGATATTTACCTGATTTAATGCAATTCCTGTGATACACTTATTATGTGCAGATTGAATTTCTTGAATAACCTGTCCACAGTTTAAGTCTAAAATGGATAAACGTCGATCTGATCCGGCACACACCAACAAGTCTGTGATATTAAAAATAAGCAAAACCAAAAATGTTTCATATGTGGTTAAAAATAGGAATAGGGTTTTCATCCCCGTAAAAATCTTTTTAGCAATGGTTACCAACGACCACACATGAAATCGAATTCACGATAATCAAGTTTAGTGGTGAGCACAATTTGATATACCTTGGTTCCTGTATATATATAACGTTATTGATGAGTCACTATTCCACTACTGATTTCGTTAGTGTTTTATAATCTAATTTAATTTCTTAAGTAAAATGCTGGATGCTCAGAAAGATTCACTATCAAGCATATATAAGAAATATAAGGATATCATTGAAATATTTTACAATTTGTCAAAACAAATTTATACCATAAATCACAAAAAGTAAACAAAAGTGAGAAACAATAAGACTATTTCTTGACAAACTGGTTTTCTTTTCCATTGTAGCTAGTATTGTATTAATTAGAAAAAAAAAATCCTTATTATTCATTTCTAACAATTTAAACTCTATACATTAGGTAGAGTGTACGTAGAGTAGGAACTTATTCCATTACAGGAAACTGCTATGTAACATCGGATTTATGGAGATAATTATTAAGATTGCTATTAATTGGTAGTTCGGTGACTAGAAAGATATGTGAATATAGTACGTTATTTACCTATATGAAAGTGCTAAATTCTTTGGTCTGAATGGTTTAATTTTATCATAACTCTCTAGTTGAGGTAAGCTTATAGTGAAACACATCTTGAATTCTCCTCTTAATTGTGTCCTTTTTTATTTCATCATATATTAGGTTAGTTGTAGGCTAAACAAATTGATCTATGCATTTAGTTTAATTTACTATCTAACGGAAAATTGGTAACAATTAGTACTACTATAATCTAACTTTTATTTTGATAAACAAATTTCTATGTAGGATGCTTACATGAATAGAAAATGTTTACAGATGCCACAGAAGTTAATTGATTACAAGTGGATATTGGAAATTCACCAACTAATTTATAACTGTTATTGGCACAACTTCTATAAATAAACATAAGAATAAACAAACAGTTAAGTGAAATCAATATGATAATAGGGTATTATTAAAAAAATATTGTGGAAAACTAGCATCTAATTTGACAGCTTACTTACATACTTACGCCTGTTGCCCCTCGTGAAGGAGCATAAGCCGTTCATCAGCATTCTTCATCCAATTCTATCCTGGGTAATCCTTTCCAGTTGATATTCATCTTTTTCATGTCTGCTTTCAATTCCCGACGCAATGTGTTATTTGGTCTTTCTGGTGGATTGAATGGAGCTGGCCTATTCAAGAGTTCCTCGAAGTGCTCCACCCAACTATTCCTCTGTACTTGAATCTCGGTGATTGTCTTGCATTCTTTGTCCTTGACTGGTCTCTCTGGTTTACTATATTTCCCTATCAGTTTCTTCGTTGTGTCATATACTTGTTTCATATTTCCTCCTCATTCAATTTTTTCCCCTGCCATTGCTAGGTGTCTTCCATATATTTCTGCATGCCGACCTTAATGCTCCTCTTCACTTGCATGTTTGCTTTTGTGTATTCATAATTTGATAAGACTATATATATCCCAGACAGTACAGCTCAGTAAAATCATCACTATAGTTAAACACAGTTGTCACATCATAGAAATGGTCAGTTGAGGAACTGACAAGTAAAAACAGAAGATCCTTGGTTGTTTTGTCAACTTTACTTCCACCTCCGGTTGACCTTGACCCTTTCTAGTCTCTATTATTACAGTAGGATTATATCAATCAAGCACCAGTGTGACCAGTAGACTAATTGATTCGAGATATAATAACACTTTTTGTTTGATATTCGATAACTGGTGGACATTGATACGAAACACTTAAGCTTCATGCTAGTTGGTACTTGTCAGCAATGCAAGTATTCGATTTCAGCTCAGTTTCTGATATTGGGTAACACGAATTTGAATGCGACCGGGAGCATCAATTACTGACAAGTGAGTACCAATCAACATGGGACTCGGGTCAAGTAATGGATCCAGATGATTGTCTCTTTAACCACCTAATATCAATGATAATCTACAAACTATTATCATTATTTCATAGTTTACATCACGGAAAAATATCAGACAACTATTGAAAACCAGGAAGCATTGAACAACTGCTTCTTCCTAGCATAGGACTCCTCAACAGTTCTGCTCTATGCTTGTGAAACCTGGCCTCTTCAAGTTGATGATGTTAGACGACTCTCTGTGTTTGATTATCGTTGTCTCCGAAGGATTGCTAACATCCAGTGGCAACACCATGTCAGTAATGCAGAAGTTCGGCATCGTGTGTTCGGGCGAAGAGACGATAATCCAATTGGTGTCACCATCCTGAAACACCAACTTCGGTGGCTAGGACATGTTCTACGAATGTCGTCCCAGAGAATTCCTCGTCGTGCATTATTTGCCGACTCTGAGACTGGTTGGAAAAAGCGGAGAGGTGGTCAGTGTATGACATGGTGTCGTGGTATGAAAGAAAGCTGCAAAGGGCTGGCTTGTGTTGGTCCTTCACGACTCCCTGGCTGGTGTCCGAGAGATGATGTAACACAGTGGCTAGAGACGTCATCAGATATGGCTCAGAATAGAAGCCAGTGGCGATCCTGATGTAACCTTCTTTTACTTTCTTCATAAAAAGTGGTTAAATCTTCCTCAACTGAAAGATTTCTTCTGGTTGTACCTTTCCGTTTCCCCCATTATTATTATTATTATTATTATTATTATTACACTACCTTACACTAATCTGGTCGTTATTGTTTTTCTATTTTTTCTCTTCCCATTCTCATTGTTTTGTGTGGCGCATACATATTTGGTGCTCTCTTGTACCAATATTTATGTGTTCAAATAAATAATGAATAAACAACAATGCATATTGAAGACTTTACTTGGGGACTAAACGTAGAACTCTCAAGTCTCAGGATAAACGCTAGCATCTAGTACTTTAGGTCTCTAAATCTAACCAACTTTGAACATTCAGTAACCATTTTTCAGACGCCATTCATTCATGGTTAACTGTCTCATATCTTAAATGGTTGTCCAGTAGTAGCTAATATTTAATAATTATCTAATCAAAAACCGATCTGTTAAGTCGGCTTTCCGAGAACTGCAACAGAGCCTCCAGAGGACCTGAAGGAGCCAAAGAGTCTTAGCCAATCAGAGCACAATGGAGCTTTCTAGAATGCCAGTGTGGCGTGCTACTATTGGTCAGTAGCATAATATGTCTTTTAGCGGATTGGTCAAAATATGATGTTGATTTAACAAATGTTAACATCTATAAATACCCATGTTTTTCTGTACAAGAATGAACCTTGGTGTAAAGTACTTTTCGCATACTTTGTGCCTTCTCTCTCGTGTTCAGGTCGCTGTATAGTTCTAGCTTGGGGGTTGCAGAATAGCTTAGGAATCGAGCATAGCGTTAAAAATCGGAAGACTCATCACGATCCATTATATAAACTATGAGATTCAAAAACTTCCATAACTTCTCTACGATAATGTCATTGTGATTAATGTATATAATTACTGGTTAATACAATAAGATCACTATTAATGAAATATTATTGAATTATTTCTAAGATTAATATTATATAATGAAAGGTGAACTTACTTTTTTAGAATATTCTCATTATTTGACAATGTATATGTATACAAACGAATTATATTTTTACTCACTAAATATACAAATGAATCCATATAATAAAAGTTTCCAATAGATATATTATCTTCAAATGGTACAGGACAATATGTATTCTTCTTCTAGAACAGATAGAAAGAACGAAAAGGTGATCCTATATTCAAATAAATAGATATACTAAAGAACACATTACGAAATAATAGCTATCCAGATAATTTCGTTAAAAAAATACCTCGTAGAAAGCACTGAAAAAAAGAAGAAATTGTGACACAGTCAGTAAAAAGACCTTATATATGAGACTAGACTTTAAAGGGGATATAGCAGGTGATATTTTAACACATCGACTCGAAAGATCTGTTGAAAGGACGTTTCATGTCACCAAGCTACACATAATTTTCTCAAATAAACAAGTACTCACATAACTAATCAAGGATAGGTTATCGAAGATGAGCTCCTCCATGTGTGTATATCAATTCAACTGCTCCTGTGGAGCTAGTTACATAGGCTATACTTAGAGGGCTTTATCCTTACGTGTTCGTGAACATGTACCAGCATGTTTGGGAAAAGGAGTCACTAAATCGATTAACAGCACTATTCTTTCTCACTTGGTAGATAGTGAACATCATATCAAAATAGAGGAAGCTTTCTCTGTTTTATATCAAGTACTAAAATATCTACCTCAAGGAGCTAGTTTACGACTGATTTACATAGCCGAGGCCATCTGGATCAACTCCAGAAAAAATAGATCTAGCCTTTATGTTTACCTTGGCCCATGACTGGGTCACCGGATACCTAGACTGAATATTACAAACCTCTTACCCCCTTCCTTTATTTATTTATTTTCCTGATTATTATTATTTTTTGATTACCTCTATCTTAATCTTCACATCCATCATTCCCAATTCGTTTATCGTAATTACTTTGATAACATCCCCCTTATTACATATTATATTCACACAACAATCTTGTTATTATTATCTCGATCGACTAGATGAAATTCTCCTACTATACATTTTATTCATACAATTTTCTGCATTTTCATTTTTTTTATAATACTATTCTACTTATTGTGACTGGACACTTTACTCCAAATCATCCTGACCTTTATTAAATATCGTGACAGATGCAAACATGCACCATTTTTAACACATAACATTGTCAAATTCATTAACAAATATTGAAGGATACCCGTTTTTGATAAGTATCTCCTTTAAAAGGTCCAATTCTTCATCTACAACTTTGGGGCTACAGATTCTTCGCTACAAGAATACGAAGAATCTGTAGCCCCAAAGTTGTAGATGAAGAATTGGACCTTTTAAAGGAGATACTTATCAAAAATTCATTAATACATTGCCTTATTTTTGGCCTTTGTAAAATATCACAATAATTATGGACTTATAACTGTAGAGTCTGATGATGAAGTTATTTCAAAAACAATTGTTCACTCAAATATTCTTCATTTTTCAAATAAATGCATATATAATTTATATTGATATTTGATCAGATTAAACGAATTGTTGTCATTGTATATTATTTCACAATTTTCAAATCAATCACATTAACGACTAATGAAATGGTGATTGTCAGTTAGTGTTATAACGATTGGTTTTCCAACGTTTACACGTATAGGACGCTAATTTAACTTAGACGAATATCTATACTAGATTCCCTCCCAGTGTCTATTATTCTACAGGACTTCAACACAACTCATATGATCAAGAACACGTGATTAACCTGACCACAAGGTAAATATATTTCCACACCAGAAAACCCCACACAATCCAGCAACAATGAACAATCAACAATAAGTGATATAATAATATTAATAAGGATAGGGGAATATATAACTCATCTGACACCTGTCAGACTATCTACCAATCATTATCATTCTCGCCCACACATCAGTTAGTGTAGTGTAAACTTAAAAGTCAATGAGACGTTGGTGATGATAATAGTTAAAATCATTTGTATGTTTTGTAGTACTGCAACGTAATGGTGTTTAATCTGTGTTTATATTTTGTTAAATGGAAAATGTTTGAACATAAGAATTGAAATAAACATTGGTGTTGACCAGTTATTTTGGGATTTCAATCAGACCTGAAGGGTATGTGACTAAAGGAGTCATAACAGTAAATTTGATTATCGATGTCTACGAAGCATTGTTCATGTACGGTCAAATCACCGAGTGATTATTGTTATGGTTTAAAATGACGTTCTTTTGTACAGATCGCAGATCGATTGAAGAGTTTGTGATGTTTTATCATTGATGGTTAAGACATATGTCAAGCATGTCTTACTACCATCCATCTGGACGCTCTCCATTGGATCGCACAAGAGTGAGGCGTGTGTGAGAAAACAATGGTCTTGATGGACTTTTGTTTTCTTCTCATTGTTCAGAAGAACGATGAAAGCTCCACGACTAAACCATCCAGCTCAGAGAACAAAACTCGATCAAAATCATCCACTTGAGCTACAAATCTTCTCCACCATCTCAAAATCATATGAGCGTAGTACGCTTCTCGTTGTTCGAAAGTAGGAGGATTTCGCCAAAAAACAGGCTTCCACTCAAGAACAACTGTATTTTCTCCACGAGTGTCTTCGTCAGCATGTTCTATCAACAAATGTAAGATACAGAACTCCGATCAACTGCCCATTGAGATGGAGAATATCTGAGCAAAGTGGAAGAAAATTGATACACCGAAAGAATGGTCAAACTAAGTTGTAGTGTAAGTCCACGTAGTTATTTACCGTTGAAGTAAGATATTTCAAAGATGTAGGCTTTTTAGAGTAGGTCATAAATATAACCAACTTGGAGAGATTAAAATGTTTTGGGCAGTTTTTAAATGCTCAGTCACTCACGATTTACGTGTATTTCAGATGTGAAATAAACAAAGCATCAAAATTATCATCACTGATCCTGGTATCTCAAATGATGAGGTGATTTACTTTCAGTGACGTAGATTAGATAGATGTTTATAACGAATGAGTTATTTTTTTACTTCAAATCTACACATACATTATTTAAACATTCCCCTTTGGGATCTTGTTAAGGTTGACTATTATATTCGATGTATAGCTGGTGAAAGTAAGATGTGATTTGTCACTGAGCGTAAACTGACACGCACAGTTTACTGAATACTTAATCTGTGATTCTCTTTCCCATTATTGATTTGTACTCTGGACTTATCGAGTATAAACTGCTTGTAATTGTGTTCAATAAAGTATTGCAACGTGATCCAGCGTGTGTATAGAGGGTATCGACCGAGTACTTATTCTAGTGGTAGTGCAATCTCGATCACTGGTCGTAAAATCGTAGAATAGTAGTTAAAGTAAAAAAATTTTTTATTTGTCTGCTATAATAGGTATTTTTTACCATACATTCTCACTACTTTAACGAAGAACTGAGCAAAACAGGAATATATTAACAAAATTTTTATATTATTTTTCTGTGAATGGTTTTACCATAAATCTATAGGTTACTTCGTATCTTTCTCCAAAAACTCACAAGTTGGAGAAACCATAAAGAATTTAAGAAACATGAGATGTTATAGTTTGCGTCACGGACTGACTTAAGTCAGACAAACATAAAAATCAAAAAGTATTGGATAAGTGTTTCGTTTTAGCTTGGAAGAGGGAGAGAGAGGCAGTTCTCGGAGTTATAGTGAGTAGCTATAACCAGTAGAAATCAGTCATATTCAGCAACAGATATTACCGATAAAAAAATGGATGATAAACGTGTAACGTCAATAATAGATTGAAGTTGGGAATGTGAACCATGAGATGACGGCTCAGTAATCTAAAGTCTAAGCGCTTGCTCGAACCTGGATGTCCTGGGATCAACTTCACATAGTGGTAGGTCAGTACTATAGTGATTTCTATATCAGGGTGAACCAGTTTTTTTTAGTGATTTCTAGTTTTCAGTAGTCGCTTAGATAAATTCAGTCTGTAATATCAACTACATACTGGATTTTTTAAAGCCATTTCTGAGACGAGTTATTGTTAAGTTAACCTACCATATATAAATCAATCTATAAAATAGTTGGCTATTAAACTTTTTTGTATGGTGTTGTAGCAAATTTTCTGTTAGAATAAATAAAAACTAACAGACCTTCAGGCTAACTTTTTCTCCATAATCATTTGTAGCTCCTTTGTGTATTGAATCGAATATAAGTTGAGTTACTGACCCAATTTTGGTAGTCACGTTTTTATTCAATCCTTTTACACCTATTCTCCAAATACGGGCAGTTCGATCCGATGAACAAGTTAGCAACAAACAACTATCCGTCGACCAAGAAGCCCAAAGAATAGGACCTAAATGGCCACGTAATGCTTCAGCTGAAGGAAATAACTTGTTTCGTTTTTGTTCCAATGTATTTTGATCACGTCGAGTAATCAGACAAATCCCATTACCCAAACATGATGCCAAGCTACTGCCATTAGCTTTAACATTAAGTAAACGAGAGGAGAAAGATCGAAATATGCCATCGTTTCGAATTGAAAATTGATAAAAGTTGAAGAGTACTAATTCAATTTTTAATGGTTTGGGTTATTTTATTGTTGATATTTCGACTAGAAGTTAATCAGTCTTGTTTGGAATACTTACATCCTGTATAGATTGTTTCGATATAGTAATTGACACAAGTTTGTATAGAATAGAAGGAATGAAGCTAGCAGTGGATTGCAAGATGGGGTTCTTATTAGTGACTTGTGCCTGCAACTCAGAATTGATGTTCTTTCCGAGACTCAACCCAGTACCGTTCAATTCAAACATCCAGGAGGCAAATCCAATTGACGTGTCGAAACGTGGGTTTCACTGCTAGCTACATCCCATCTATTATACATACTTAAAGAGTGTGTTAGGGAAAAAACCACCTGGAGCTCTTCTCGGGTCATTACCGATCCCAAGAACGGGTAAAGCTTTGGGGATGAGGTTAGCAACTTCATGCCGTAGAACGGTACCTCGCTAGAAAAACGCTAACTTGAGCGAAAGAAGGATCGCACCATACTTGTTTATGATGAGGAAATTGATTACACACGATAATTCGAGTAACAGTAATCAATAATCATCTACTTTCTGTAGATGGGAGTAATTAATCAAAGCAAAATATGTCGACTAGTCATAGATAACCTAAGATCTGCCACGAATGCTTATATAATAAGGTTGCTACACATATTTGTATAACGAACAAGAAAACTAATAAGATAAGAAATAGAGTGGGCAATAATATCAGTTAGTCATATACATTGTATATATACAGATATTAAAGTTGTAACACAATATCAGCGCAGTGACATGAACTTATCAAGATAAATGCCAGAGTAGAAGAGAAGGTAGGAAAGACTAGAAGTAGACCATATAATTTGAGAATAATGAGTTTAGGGAATAAAAAGTATAAATATTTTAAGACAAAGAATTAATGTATCTTTGCCATTCAGATCTATTCTGAGCTGTTTAACACTTCGTGTCTAGCCACTGATCTGGGGATCTAACGTTCCTAACATGATCACAGTTAACACGACGACCTTACCCAGAGAGTCTGGACCTACCAAAATGGTTCAGCCTAACAGTTAGTGACTTCATGAACTGGAAACACGTCTTGGTCTGGTTGTCACTCACTTTATTTGAACCTGCTGCCACTACATTAGCAAGTACCAGACAACCATTTCTTCCTAGTACATGTCTTTTCAATAATGAACATTCACTATCCCTTCACAGGAAATCGAACCCAAAACAGGTTTCGCACCCCAACACCTTAACTTTTAGATCATCAGGTCGAGATTCAGTGGTGTATAATCAATCTGTGATATTGCTTAACTACATCTCTTTGTCTTCGATCGATACATTTTCTAACATCCGGCACGGTTGAAATCTACAACCCCCGTATTGTAATAATATATCTAGACACATACTATTGTTTGAAAATGTTGCACAAAATAATCTTTATATAATATTTTTCCGCTTGACCGTGTTTATTAGTTGAAATTACACTTAGTTTTCAAGTAAATTACTCACGTGAATAGGCAACTTTATAGATTGGTGTATTAGAAGAGTCGACATATCCACTTATTTGGAGAACATTTGGAAGTTCATCAGTATTTGGATAAGATTTAGTTAGTTTTCTGCTTTGAATAAAAGAAATATATATAGAAATTGTACACATTGTAAACTATACAGCACAACATACTCTTATGAATAACAACATATTGGAGTGATTATAATGGGATTGGAGTAAATTGAATATCTTCAGTGAAAAACAAAATATTTTGCTAAATTTAGTTTTTTTCAACATCATCTCAATTTCTATGTGTGAAATGGATTGTATCCATTTTACACAGTGGTTTAAATTTGACAACAAATGACAGATGAATTGACTCTATTTCAAATTAGTTCATACAATTCTCAACGACATGAACAATTATCGAAATTTAGAATTAGTTCATCTAGTATTATATCTGGTATCTGTGTGGTGTGCGTTACCTATATCTATATAATTAGTATATAACGGTGGTCAGGCATAGAATGTATTTCAGTAGAAGATCGGTAAGGAAAGAATGGGAACGGGATGCAATTGGTATGAAAATGTATGAACAATGAAATTTGAGAAAATGGACTGATATTTGCAAAAGAAACAGTGAAGTTTGAGACGATGGATCGATATTTTGCAAATTAACTATTTACCATATGGTTCTGAGATTTTAGTGAGATGCTCTGTAATTTCGTGTGAAATACATCCGATTGCTCCCACTCGTGTTCTTGTTCACTACACCTGGACGAGCCATATTGACTTTTTAACCACTCCCCCACGAGACCAAAAGAGAAGACAAAATGCCGAAAGAATGGACGGGAGCTTTGTTCACAAGGTCAAGTTAGGTATAGGACACAAGGATACGTACATATTTGGGTAACCTTGGAGTTCAAGAAGCTTCCGAAAACATGCTAAATTTAGTAACACGGTCGGTAACTATCCAATCAGAACATAACACTTAACCCATTGTTTTTCTACAAGGTCTCTAGGAAATTCCCATTCAACGCTGATTTTCAACTTTTCCCCAGCTTCTGAAGATTTTGACTGGGAGTCCTCGAGGATTCCAAAACTAAAAAGGTATATTTATCATACATTAACTGATATGACAGAATAAGATGACATTGTGTGGGTCAATATTTTTTGTATGAATTCTAGCTAGGGTGACAAGTAAAAACTTTGTTCAGTGTAAGATTTTAAGATCAATATTTTCTGATATCAATTCAGTACAAACTCTGTTCTATATGGCAAGTTTGAACTCTCCCTCATTGTGACACTTTTATTCCTTGTATTGAGAGTCAGATGAACTATATTTATTGTTTGTTTTTATGGTAACTGTACCTGTTCTCACCACATATGATGCCACAAAATGTGCTTGAAATGTGGTATATAAATGGTTGTATTGTTGCTTAAAGATGATATGATTTCGGATATTATTTTGGGACTTGTTTTTAAGGAGTCAACAGATCTTCATTACACCAGTCTTTCATGTTCTCACTTTGCATTGTGGGAATCATAATGGTCTCCGTTTCCCAGTGTAAACCGTAAGATCGAGGAATTGGAGTGGTTTCCGATCGTTAAGTAGAAGCAATAAGGATGGGGACTCGAAAGAGTCGATACGTACAGAGCAGTGACGATTCATCAGATATAACATTTCGCTACCAAATTTACTAGTCATATCAGTAGCGGTTCTTGGATATAACAGTAGCATCATCTGAAGACGAGGTGTCGCTTGGTAATATTGGCTTATGATAATATTAGCTTATGAAGCTAACTAAGCTGGAATTTTGATTATTATCTACCGATAATATTGGATTGTAGAGACTTTATACTCCAAATTGTCTGTAGTTAAACTTCGAAATCTCAGTATAAATGGTGATCAGTATCTTGTTCTTTAGAAAATCTGGATGTATTATTAAGTTTGTGCCTGGGCTTCCAATTAATCCAAACTATAAAAATAGCTGTCCAGTTTCAACTAGTTCTTAATAGTTTGCCAACTTGCGAAGTATTGTTATGAAACAGATTTTATCCATAGTTTATTCACTATAACAATCAAGACACATGAGAAAGTGGAAATGGGTAATATCGATTTCTTTTTATACATTAATTCTTTTGTATCGAAATCCATTAAAAAGAAACAAACTTATAAGTTCATTTTAATGACTAGTAACAGAGGATTAAAAAAAGGAGAAAACTTACGTAAGCTTCCCTTCATTTCCTAAGTTTAAAGTATCTCTTTGTTTTGAACGTTCATAAATCAAAGGATGAAACATTTTACGCCTAAAAGAAGAAGTTTTACCGTTAGATCTCAGTTATCTTTTAATTGTTTAGTATTTAAATGAATACTACTTACTCTTTATGAAAACTGTTCAAGAGGAGTTATTGTCGTATGTAGTAAAGTTCAATTAAACAATCTTAGTTAAAATCCATAAAAACAGACAGCAGTCAAATCTAACTTAAATCTATAATTTGCAGTTAAAATATTCAAACATTGCCTACTTCGATGCGTACTATATGTAAGTGTAGAAGTCAGTTGGAAGAAAACTAGGAGTGGTTCAATCTAAAACGTAGCCTCAATTTATGAAGTCAATAACTGTCAGATTGAACAATGTTCGTACATGCAAACTACTAGATTGAGATTCAAGCAATTATTGTAATCAGTAGTTGAAAACGTTGGGTGATATAAAACACAATCAGTCGAAATGATGAAAATATCTACAGTGTTTGCGAAAAATGTACAAACTAATCATTTGTATTTTTCATAGTGAGAAATTTTTGTGTATTATTGTCGTTTTTCGTTGAGATGATATAAACAGATACTGATTATGCAAGCACGCAAGATAAATACAGTTGGCAGATTTAGATTTATTTCACCAATGAAATACAAAACTTTCGGTGATAAAAATGATAAATCTTCTGACTAACTGCTTGAATCGGTTTCTTAAGCTCTTCTGATAACCTCAGGCTAAATTTACACAACTTAAACATGAGAGAAAAGGAGTGTATTATGGAATGAACGCTTTACTCCAAGGTTGGTTTATGTACAGAGAACTGAGTGTATTTATAGAATTACAGATGGCCTTGGGCTTCTGGAACCCTGCCAAACATAGAAGCACGACAGATAATCATCCAATCAGAAATGTGACACGTGACGCATTACTTCCTAGATGTTCCTGAGAAACTTCTTCACAATGCTGATTGGGCAAAATGTTTTTCAGCGTTTTCAGGGACACTTTGGCTTTTCCCGAGGAATTTTCTGAGTTTCCTTAACAAGCAAATACACTTATTTGTGTAGTTTTCGTGCACTGATTTTTTATGAAGAAATCTCACATTAAATCAATGTTAGCGAATTTCTTACAAAGCAGGTAGTATCATACTAGATTAGTACATGACCTCACTCTTGATTCATTCCTAACACCTATATCTACTATAAAAAATAGGTCCTGAGTATCAATGGTTAGAAGATATAGACGTGATATGACCATTTATAAGGAAGAATGGTCAGGACGGTTAAACCATTACTTAGCATCATTCGACGAAGTCAATGACTGTTGAACTGAATTGCATCAAGAGAAATAGACTTCCAGATTGTCTCGAAATTAGTTGCGATGGGCAGATATATTGTGTTTTATCGCTCTTTAAATTGTGAGTTTTAGTGTGATTTCATACCTTTTACCACTTAATTTGAGTTGTTCTTTACGAACCGTATGTTTAGCTAGCTAGTATTATAGGTATTGTTATTTCTACTTGGCTATTTTTCATTTGGTTAGTGTGCTTATTTATAGTGTGATAATTTTGGGCCGATACAAATACACACCTGGCCCTATTTTATTTCTGATTGGCCACTACAGGAAATATTGAGAGCGATAATAAGACTTACATTGGTTCTTGTTTCGCATAACCAGAAGATTTGATTTTATGTCCAAATGTGACTGGTTTGTCTAATGTTTTATTTAATGTTGAAAATTGACTTTTATTTCTGCTACTGCCATTATTTTGAAGGGGTTGATGTTTGTTGCAAGTATTCAACACAGAATTCGTTAACAGATCATATCTGTAAATAATGATGTATATAAAAAATACCTCATAGAATATGTTTTAGCAATATAAACACAAAATACAGTTGATATTATGAGCTAGATTTTGCTAAGCACTCATTCAAAACCAACAATAACTAGACAACTGGTTCGTTCTAGTATGGGATCCATATCAGTGGGCACAAACGACTCCGTTAGATGTTGGATCAATATTTTCACGCCCAATGACTAGAAGGTCACATTTAAACTATTGAATTAGTATCCAATAATCTACATTTATAATAATAGTCAATTCGTAAAATGGTGTATGATCGTCGTCTATGGTTATTGATGATATGTGTCCGACACTAGATGTAGCTGAACTCCATTAGTATTGTGTGTGCTACTTATGTCGATATAAGTAGTATATAACGGCAATTAGGAATAGAATACCTGGCGGTAGAAGGGTGATAAAATCGGAGGGGAAAGGTAGGGAACAGAAAGTAATTGGCATGAAAGTGAAAGGACAACGAAGTGTGAAACAATTAATGAACATTTTGCAAATGAAGAATTGGAGTATGGTTTTTAAATTTTACCAAGTAACTAATTTTGTGCTAAACATAATCGGTTGTCTTCACCCGTGTTCTCATTCACTACTGTATCAAGTGCGATTATACTAATGGGACTATATGAAATCTGACGTTATGAATGTCGTATTTGATGTTATAACGCTGAATTTTCCTGTCTACACGAATGGAAGGTTAATTTACCTTAGATGGATGTTTGCACTAGATACCCTTCTAGTGTCTATTGTACAGGATCTCAACATACTCAAATCAAGAGCACGTGACTAATTTGACCAGAATGTATGTATATTTCCAGCAAAAACCGATAACAAAACCAATAATAATAAGGATAGGAAAATATATGATTCATCTAATACATGTCAGACTAGCTGCTAGTCTGATTGAACAAAGAACCATTATTTTTCTCGCCCACACATCAATCAATGAAGATGGTTTTCTATAAAAATGGCTCTGAAAACTTAAGCTGAACACCTCAAAACAGTTTTGAGTATGTTAACTTGAATAGGATAAAAAAATATATTTCTTCTACTCAATTAGGTACAAATACGAGTGTTTTACGACAAATAGAGTTTCGAAACGACACTGAGCTCAGGTACATGATTGTATGATGATATTCTTCAGAACAACGATTAAAGTGACAAAATTAAACCGTTCACCTCAGCGAATATAAACATTCACGATGGTAAATGTTTGAATCTTCCTGTTGTTGATGATGTGGACTAAAATTGATCAGCCTCTTTCAGCATACGTGCATCTTATGTGGATCGCTTCGATATTGTCATATAGTTGTAAGTCTTAAAGTTGGAACAGTGGATAGCAGTGTAATCAGGGACTCAAGTTTCGTTCAATTTGTGACTCGTCGGACGGTATATCTAACTGGTAAGTCTCAAATAGGTCGAGACACTCGTCCTGGATCCAACTACTAGCTACTATTCCAATCTTAATTAAAAAAGAACTGTTGTCAAGTGACATGAATTTTGAGTGTTTTGTTCGCTGAGCTGGATGGTTTAGTCGTGAAGCCTTAAGTGTTTTTCTTGACAACATCATTAAGATGAAAAATTCAATGATCAAATGACACCAAAACAGCTAAGTTACTTGGCAATAAATGATAGATATGGAGAACTGTTTGAAATATTTTCATATACATTTGTTGCAGAAACATTTTCCAACGGAATGGTAAAAAATCCAACAGAGTCATTCTTACCGCGAATCCAAAAATTTACAGCATTCTTAAAAAATAAAACGGAAGAAATAATTCAAGTTTATATAAATCAGTGGAACTATTTCCACAGAACGATTTAAAAGATGGTTTCGTGGGTTATACTCTACATGTAGAAAACCTTTTGACCAAATATAGATAGGTAATGCTGTTAACTTGTATAAGGACCTTGATACTACACTATACAGTCGACTATTTAAGAGGAGACAAATGTAAATTTGCATCTAGTACTAAAGGATCATATGGAATGTACCAACCGGGAAGCCTGAAGATCATCTGTTTAGTTCTAAATACTGGTAAAATTAACAGCGTAAAGCTCAACAGTTATCGCATTATTCTCCGATTAGTAATAATTTGTCATTTCTGCTAATTGTTGAGCGATTATTTCATTTATAATTCTTAAATTAAAGAATAAAGAAAGCATAGTGATAACGGGAATACTAGACAGAGAAATGAATGACGATTGCCGAATCCATTAAGATGAATCTACTATATTTTATGGAGCAAATGGAATAAAGTACGATGCTAGCATTCAACCGTGTTGTATAAATAGAAAAAAAAGCACCCATACTGGTGTATAATAATAAGTGACATCAACTGACAGGAATCTTTCAAAAGTTTTGAGTGGTGTTTGAGATGGATTTTCTTCTCTATATGCAACATTTTGTTCAAAGTTGATTTATATCAATGTCCAGTACAAACATAGAAAGTGATGAGGTTGGGAAACGCAGGAACTTCGCTTTTTCTGGTAGTCAAATCAGCCACCTTAACTTGTCGAGTGACGAAAGAACCATGGCCCCATAGTGCCCTGGTACGGCCGGGAGTGAGGACATTCCGCCCTCCCTCTCGAAACGCTCTCACATGGCCACGCGTATATAGCCTCTACCAGGAAAGTCCTACTCATTGCCTTCTCGTGGCGGCGGTGTTTTTTTACGAAATTGAGCTCTTTAACCGGGTTAGTAGACATGGAGAGTTCACCTAGGGGAGTTGGAAAACCCCCATTCCAAGCTAATGGTGCACATGAGTTCCAGTATCCTGAAGGAACAAATGGCGTATGAACCGATCGTTTGTCACCGGCTACCATGAAACTGCATCTCCTTATGATGCTCCGCTGCCTTGTGGATCAAACCTTTAGGTCGAAGGCTCCGGGTGTGGCCTCCTAGTAAAACTACTTGCTTTGGTTTGGGCACCCGGGCAGTATCACAGCCCCACACATATCAAATGAAAGTTGTGTGGCGCATATGTGTTTGGTGCCTCCTTGTACCAATATCTATGTGTTAAAATGAGGTAAAAAATAAAAAGAACCATGTCATGAATTCATGTGCTCTCTTGATATTTGATGGCTTTCATAGCCTTATAGCACGAGAGAGATACCCGTCTGTCATACAAATAACAAGTATATTGTATCTTCATTCACTGCTTTCTTTTACAAGTGGGAAACATAACCTATGGTAGTAGAATAAACAAAGTTTAAAAATAATTAGTAGTGAATATTTTCGAAGCTTTAATCGTGTATAAAGGAACTGGTGAGTGATGCTGAGCTCAGATGTAAGGTCTTAGGTACAAATGGCATGTATGTTGATAAATTTGAACATCCATTTACTGAGGTGTCCGTGACATCTATGAGGGATTCCTGGCCATCAGTTACTGTTAAGTTTAATTCTGATTAAGATGAATCCTGTTTGAAAATTGACAGGGGAGGTCAGATAAATAAATGACATCAATTTTTAGAGTTTTTGAATGTCGGCTTAAGGAGAAATGTACTTTTTTGTTAGACCGTAATTTATAGCTAGAGACCTCTGGTAGTCTGATTCGCGAAACGTCACCTTTGATTACATATTTCGTTTTGATCATTTTTTTAAATATTAAAATACATACTTTACCAATTATGGTTTTATTTATTTATTTTGGACTACACTTCTCAAGTTCAGTTCGTCATTGTTATCGCTTTTAATAATTTGACTTTTTTGACCTTCATGTGGTTAATTTTGTCTCAATGTGATGATGAGAAGTGTGGTAATTTGACCTAATAAATATTTTTGCCAGACAGTATTTTTCCTGAAACTGCATTACTAACAAATAATGAAGCTCGGGAAATAGAACTATTTTGCAATGATAATGCAGTATCCCACCTTCCAGATTTGTAAAATACACAAAATATGGTTCATAGGTTTTCAAGCTTATTTTCTTAACATACTTAGAGTGGATAGGCAAAAGCTTCTAGGCTTTTTGGATGACGGGATTTTATTTTTGAAATTAGGCACTTTTTAGAAGTTACTTACTGAGGTGCTAGTAATTTCTGCGTTGTATATGTAGTTCCAGTTAGAAAGCTTAAGATCCATCCAACTCCAGCTAGCCATAACATTATGATTGGACATATCCAATATGTATAATCTGGCACGTGACAGGATGATTGATAAAGTGGATCTGAGTCCAGAAGCCCTTAAAAAATAAAATTATTTGATATTTGACAAGTTGGAAATACTATTAGATCAAAGAGAGGTGGAGAATAAATGATTAATAATGAGTAGATTATGAAAAAGGATTCGAAACTTTACAAATTATTTCTTGCAGTGAACATGATTTCGTTTTGGTTGGTTTTTGGTGACCACACGGTGGTAAATCGGGAAATCACGCAAACACCAACACTAAATTATACTGTTACGATTAAAATTGTTCCGTTAACACCTAAAAGGTTTAACCAAGGAAAAAATATAGTGTTGAAGCATATACTGAAAGTGGTATTCAGATCTTCATTAGTTTATTAGTCGGAAATTCAAACTAACTACAGATCCCTATGTAACTTGAAATATATTTGGCGATCAATTAGTTGTAACTAATTAAGCCATTAGTTTGGCCTAATTTTAAGAAGCCCCTGTATTCTTGCAATAATGATGTCAAACACCGTTGATCTGACTTAAATTTGTATGAACGAATATGCTATGAACATAAATCTTCCGTTTAATTCCGTATCATACACTTAGGTTAACCCTGTTTGAGCAACAAGGGCAATTAGAAGCCAAATACAGATAGAGTTTAATGAGTTTATATCATTTATTCGATTACTCAAATAGACATTAAGATGAGGAGTAAAAAAGCGAAATGAAAGAATATCATCTCACTTTGATGTGACACGACCCACTATTTATAACCAGATGAAAATGAGCTAAGGGTATTTGGTGAGTAGAGTACACGATACATACATACGCTCAAATAAAAGCACGTAAGGTTATAGGCGAATGATTGGTAAGGTCAAAATGTGACTGAAGGAGAATAAACTAATTAGTATTTCCGAAAGCTAGAAAAACCCTTGTGACCGTGACGTACTATCGGAAAAAATCAGCATCTACAACTTGAATTTAAAACATGGTGAATGTAGTTTTGGAGAGTGGATTAGGTCATTGAGGGTCTAAAGTGAGATCGTTGGTGCGAATCACCATTATTTTCGACTACTGATACATACTAATCTATCTTTTAAGTAACTTGTCTGCCTGAGCTATTAACAATACCCCAGGTTCAATAACCAACCGACATTATTTACATGAGTATCACGGGAGAAAATTATACTGCTGTTGAGATGGATGGGGATGAGGGTAGGCTCATAACAGACATCCATGAATGTGTGAATTTATAGAGAGTTAGGACTAACTTCTTTGAAAAGAAAGTGTTATTTGTAAAATAACTGTTACGAAGCGTCAAAATGTCAAGCGTACCTATGTACATCATTGTCGGAATGAGGAGATATCAAATCCACTGTTGTAAAGGCAACTATTTCATTTGAGAACTCTATAGAAATGGATGGATTAAAGTCGGCATTTTTTGACCATGACGACCTTTCACTTGCTAAAACATAAAAAGCATAAAATTTGGCATTACTTGGGTGCATGATCGAACTAGCCTTTCTGAGTCCAACATCATTATTAACTACAGGTTCAGGAAGTGAGCACAACCGAATGCATTGGAGAGAATGAGGGCAGAAAGATAGGATCTAAGTCTGTATTTATGGATGCAAAAACCTTACCTGGCCATCTTTTGTGCCTAGTGGAATACAATTATTGATCAAACTTGAACTAAATGCAGTGATTTTTTGAAGACTTATGGCATGTATTAGTTTGAAAGCTTGTATATCCCAAATTCTACACGAAAGGTCATCAGTAAGCACGAAAGCATATTGTGGAACAGAGCTATGAAAATTGATGTTTTTAATACTGGTTGATTGCGATCCCATTGACACTACAATATTTTGAGTTTCCTGAAAAGATTATTCAGAAGAACAAGAAACCTTGAGATGCCATGCTTTCAAATGCTTCTCATCACCAATAACAACGCAAGAGAAAGATGGATCGATTCGTAGAACTGGAGGGCTACGTGACAGATATTCAATAAAATTTCTACAAAACTGTATAGAAGAGGATAATTCCAAAACTCACGTCCTTTTTGGATACTTTAAAGACGTGTGTGAGAATTGAAGAATTTCCAAAGCTTCAGCATTTGCGAGAACAATGACTACGTCGGAACAAATAACTTGAACTTTGAGAAAAATTACGGCAGAACTAGATTTGTAAACAGAATGAAACTTATTAAATTATAGTAATGTCTGTGTTAAGCAAACTCACTAATGGCAAGTCACAAATGAAACTAGTGTAAATCTTATCGAGAGCCGTTGTTGACGTATAACATACGACATTTTCTACGATATCAACTAGACGGATTCCGCTAGCAGCGAAAAGATCAAAACACGGAGACTGAGAAACTGGCATCACAATGTGCTCAGTTTCAAACTGACACAGTCAACAGTCGCTAAGACAAACAATGCAATGTTCAATATCAGTTTCATTTTTAAAAGAACAGGAGCCTAGGTGGCCTGTGCTAGTTTTAACAATGGTGGTCTCTCTTCTGATACAACTCCTTCTTGAATGGGTTTACAGAAGGGGCTTCAATAAGGTGTTAAGTTAACGAATTCCATTCGTTGATGATTCGATAGGGATGTCAGTAGTAAGCTGAGAAGTAATTTGTTCTGGGTTTGTGAACACCTTCTGAGTGTCTTCGTGAATTCCCTTATTTGGGAGATGATAAAGTGAGGGCATGTCAGATACAAAACTATCACTAAGTAATTTAATAATTGTGAACGCGTCACCTCTAGTACTTCTACATGACATTGGTAAAAGGTTTAGTTTACCCAGTCTCTCGTCGTACGGCAGATATGAAGTCCCGAGTAAAGAACTTTTTCACGTTTCTCTGAACCTTTTCCAGAGGCAGCGAGACTATATTTTATGAACGAATCAATCAGATTCACAATAAGGGGTCTGGAATTTCGACGCGAAATTCACTCACTCATTTGGCCAAATAGCGTCTTGGCATTTTAGCTGATGTCAGTTCGTGGTGAAAAACCATTAATCGAACTCCAAACCCTTACCATTGACTGTAAATAATGATCTTTATCCTTTAAACTGCAACGGGTAACGATCGGGAATGGTTTTTGCATTCAATCTCCGATAGTCACCAGTTGGACACCAATCGTTGCTGTCCTTTTTAGGGACCATGTGCAACGGAGATGCCCATGGGCTGTTTGACGGTCGTAGGATCCCTAAGTTTATCATATGGTCGAATTCGTTTTTCGCCAACCTTAACTTTTCGGGGGCCAGTCGGCGTGCTTTCGAGAAGACAGGTGGTCCTGTAGTCGTGATGTGATATGTAACATTGCTGGTTACACACGGCAATTTCGGTTGCGATTGGTAAATGCCAGAATATTTATCAAGTAGTGGTTGGTAGAAGGGGTCTATCGTGTGCTTAATAGTGGCAGGAGATAACCTGCAACCAGAAAAAGAAGTCGGGCAAACAGATAAATTAGTGTTTCCGTCTACTAACCTCCGTTTGCGCGTATCGATAATTAAGTTGTGGTGTTGTAGAAGGTCCATACCAATGATTGGCATAGAAACATCTGCAACAACAAAAATCCAGTGAATGGGTTTGCGTAAACCCACGCTAAGATAAACATACCTTTTGCCATACGTAGCGATAGGCTTTCCGTTTGCCGCCTGTAGATCTAAAACCGGCTCGTGTAGCCGGTCGTTGGAATTCGCTGGGAGAACGCTAACCTCTGCGCCAGTATCGACGAGGTAGCGAACTCTCGTTGTCACATCTGTGACATATAAAAGACGGCTATGTTCGCCGGCTACGGTCGCCGTTAACGCGTGCCGGCATGGAAGTTTCCCGAAACGTTCTTCGCGTCGACCTATTTCGCGTTAGGAAAATTGCAAAGTTTTCTGCAATTTCTGGCGGACTTTCCGTACTGGTTATGGTGCCAGCACCAATCAGGATTATCCGTCTCTCGAGTTCTAGATACAACTCCTTCAAAATCATACATAGAGTCAGAAGAGACATCTCAAAATGAATTCCGATGAAAACGTATGTACAGCAAAGACGATTGCTATTCATCATTTTAAGCGTTATCTTTGAAAATATAAACAATACGTTTATTTCCTTATTCTTCCACGGTGTTAACCTTTCCTTTGTGTTTTTTTAAGTTGTTATATCAAATCCATTCCAATTATTTTCAAAACTACTGATTATCCATAATTACGATGTTTAATCATTTTGTTCTTAATAACTATCAGGTTGAAAATTACCTTAACCTGAACACCTTCCACTAGTTGGCTAATGCATGACTTCATTTCAATATCTGATCTTTGTAAATAATTTATGACAATATACCACTTCAAGTCTTTTGTTTATTTTACATTAGTTTTATTTTTTAATTGTTTATTTTGTTATGTAGTCTTCCCTTGCCAAATTCTTATTTCATATACATTAAAACCACATCTTTACTCATACATTTCCATTCGCTTAATTCTCTTAACTTATTTAAACTCTTTAAATTCTGTTTAATTATTACTCAACCCATCTTATCAGCTTATAAATTCTAGGAAACTTGTGTAAACCCTTCATTTTTTCTAAAATCATCACACAATTTATCTTACCTGTCTCTGTACCTCAACTAACTATTGCATCACCCACTCCTCATGTCTTTTGATTCTAACACCAAATGGCCTCCGACTCATACTTCCAATTCTTTTCATTCACCAACGTTATTTGTCCACACCATATCTTACCTCAATGTAAATTTTTAACACATATTTGGTAGTAAGCAACTGATGAAGTCTTATTATTCTGTATCCATGTTATACTGTAGACTACTATTTTAGCAATCGGAATAAATTACAATTGCAATCATACAGCTACAGTAGATAGAATTGTCGAACTTTATTCACTGAACTGTTTTCTATCTTCTTTTTTGATACTGTGGTGGACCAAGAACATATCAATTCCATAAATAATGATAAAGTTATTACGTATATATAAATGTAATATATACGTACAAGAAATATATACAGGACGTTTGACATGTATATTCAGATGATGCATATAATGTGAATATCACTATGATCTATAAGCGTAGACAATAAATATATTAGAGTTTTGTTATCATAACAGCAGATAATTGAGAACAAGAGGCATATATATGCAATCGCATATACATTACATACAACATAATAGATATTTGACGTTCCTAATTTTGTAGTCAAGTGAATTGTTGAATGACAATTAATGCTAAATATAATTTGATCAATGACCGTGAGTATATTCTTGAAATGATAATTACTTCATTCTTACTAATATCATCTGCATAAATACATTCATTATAAAAGAAAAAAGGATATCACACATTTACTGTTTTGTTCTTTATTTAAGAAAACTCAGTCATTATTTCCTCCAAGCTATTATTCAATCTAATTTTCAACTATGAATGAACCAGTGAATATATATATATATATATATATATATATATATTCCCTTAACTTAAGCTATTGACCTTATCAATAATAATGGAAATCCATTGACTTGTAACTGATGAGATATGACAACAGATAAGCAAATGAACAGATGTAAAAATATTCGCATATTATATGAGTATATATATATATATATATATATATATATATATATATATATATATATATGTACGTTCACCTACTTTAAGAGTTCAAATAACTGGTTAGAAAATCAGATCATAGTTTTATTATTAATTTATGCATATTTAATTAACATAAAACTTGGAGTAAATTTATATTTTACTGGTTGAAATCATGAATCCATTGAAGCTAGACCACCATGGAAAACCTGGAAGCACTGGACGGCCGTTTCATCCTAGTATGGGACTCCTCAGCAGTGCGCATCCACGATCCCGCTCCTCGCGAGATTCGAACCCAGGACCTATCACTCTCGCGTCAGGCGCTTAACCAACTAGACCACTGAGCCAGCATCCAACGGTGTTAATTTCTAACTTCGACCAATCCACGAAGTTGCGCCATCGTACACCATTGTCTTCAGTGAGCTGATATCAACCAGTGAAATTTCTAAAATCTCCACACAATCCCTTTGATAATAATAATCATCTGCTCACTAGTGACTGACTTCAAGAGATACTCCTGAAGTTCTAGTGAGAAGCCGTTACCAGTGGAGTTCAACCAGGTCTGTTGTGAGATATCAGCTCACTGAAGACAATGGTGTAGGGTGGCGCAACTTCGTGGATTGGTTGAAGTTAGACATTAACACCGTTGGATGCCAGCCGGCTCAGTGGTCTATTTGGTTAAGCGCCTGGAGCGAGACTGATAGATCCTGGGTTCGAATCTCGCGAGGAGCGGGATCGTGGATGCGCACTGCTGAGGAGTCCCATACTAGGATGAAACGGCTATCCAGTGCTTCCAGGTTTTCCATGGTGGTCTAGCTTCAATGGATTCATGATTTTAACCAGTGAAATTTCTAAAATCTCCACACAATCCCTTCTGATAATAAATTTATATTATCTAAGCCTTCAATGATTTCATAAACTATTCATGGTAAATGCATACTTGTGTACATTTGTGGTTTATTACTCTTTTCAGTCTTTGAAAGAAATTCCATAACCTTGAAAAAGTTGGTTGAAGAGAGGAAGGTAAATATTATACTCATTACTCATGTTTAATTGTTTTATTTTCTGTTACAAGAAAATAGATAAAGTTCATAAATGAAAACTACCATGCATTCAAATCTATACATTGATTGATATGATTTTGAATATCATACATAAAATATATAAGTTTCCTTACTTTCAATATAAGCTATGCTGACGAATAGCAGCTAATAGGGAACACTTAATTGAGCTGTAATATTTTAGAGAAGTACAAATACTTATGTTGTATTGAGGTCAGTTTGGTCGAACGGTTTATTATTAGAACAATTGAACTGTCAAGCTTGATTATTGATATTTTCGTTCAAAGTGACTAGTCAACTGATTACTCAGTGCTCAGAAAAATTATTTGTGCAAATAAACTTGAATCTTTTATATACTTGTAGCTAGATAACAGGAAATTCTAAATTCAATCTATTTGTGCTGGCCTGTGTTTGACAGTACGAAAAGTTGAAGTGAATAGATAACATTTCTTCCCTAACGATTATCTTACTGATGAGTGTCAGCCAACTTATAAATGTAATCACAGGATTCTTACCGATTGTCTACAACTACTGAATATTTAAGTGTATTTTACACTTAGTTTATCCAATTTCACCTAGTTCATGGGAAACTGATCAATAATAACCACATAGTATGGATTGTTGTTTATAACTGAATGATCGATAATTAACATATTACAGTAATACTGCATTACTTTGTGACATATTATCATAAACTTTACATTATTAGATAAGCAATTGTCAATTTGTTATAATGTCATTTTTACTCACTACAAAACAGCTTTTC